GATCTGAGGTGGTGAAAGCTCCCTCAAAACCCACCCTGAGCTCTGAGCTGAGCCCAAGCTGCTGCTGGTTTCCTCGCTCTCCCCTCTCTGTGCAGCTCTGGGGATCCCCCAGCCTGGGGATCCCCGGGGATTTCTGTCCCAGGGCGCCGGGATCCCGCTGGCTGAGGCAGGGGAGCAGTGCCAGCCCCGGCACAGGCAGCAGCCTGTGGCTTTATGGGGCAGCCAGGAGCCTCTCATCACTTCCAGGAACCCTCTGCATCATCCCTCGGCCTTACGCAAGAGCCCAGCGGGGTCCAAGAGCTGCAGGGCCGGATTGCTGCGTGTGTGTGCTCAGCTCCAGGACCCTGGCAGGGGTCAGGAACCCCCCTGGACAGAGCCCCCAGAGACACTGGCTGTGATCTCTGCCCATGGAAAAGAGTTTTCAATCTTACAGGATCAATTACCAGCTCTGAGTGTTTGATATCAGTAATAATTAAGTGTGGCACAGATGCAAAAGTAAAATTTTAGGATTCTAGATGAGGGGTCCAAAGGGGACAAGATGGAGGAAATTGGGTGTGCCTTGTCCTTTTTCTCCTTCTTCATGCCCTCCATGTTTCACTGTGGTGTTGGCATTTTTCTGTTGGTTCAGGCTGGGGACACACTGTCCAACGTAGGTGACAGATATTGGCACGTTATTGTAAATCCAGCACAGGTAGTTTGTGGTATTTAATGTTTGTACCATCCCACTGAGGGCAGAGCCCCACACGCTGCCCTGCAGGACAGAGCTGCGGCAGGGCAGCAGAACATGGTAGAGATAAACAGAATAAACAACCTTGAAACAGCACAGACCAATTATGGCTTCTGCTTTGGCAGTGGGGCTGAAACACAGAGACTTTTACAATCTCAGAATCACCAATTCCACGGATTCTGACAGGGGTGGCCCCGGGAAGGGCTGGTCCTGCTCCCTGCCCTGCCTGGAGGGGCTGGGATGAGCCCGGGGTTCGGGTGTGGGTGCTCAGGGAGGAGAGGCAGCGGGCACAGGGTCGGGCTCTGGGCACTGCTCAGCGTCACGGGGTGCTGCAGTGAAAAGTGATGGTGAAATTTAGGTGGAAAATCAGATCTGCTGCTCATCAGTTGAAATTTCCTCCTTGGAATGGATGGGAATTCGGAGTTTAGCTGTGTGAATGCACAACACCATCCACAAAACACTGCTCTGGAAGGAAAACATAACTTTCTTCCTTCATTCTCTCAATTTTTCCATCCCAAATACTCTTTTGCTTCATATTTCCATGTGCTTTTTTCTTTATTCTGCCTTGGAAGCAGGAGAGAGGGAATCTGGGACGAGGCAGGAAGCACAGGAGTGCAGGGGGACTTGTTCCCATCACCCAAACACTGATTTTTCAAGCGAGCACATTCAGAAAACTCAGATTTTGTTTCTGAAGTTGCTCTTCCCTCCGAAGAAAAAAAGAGAAACCAAAGGAGATGTTATCCACCAGCTGTTTGCCAGAAATGCCAGTTCAGAACCTGTGGCAAAGAGGTTTTGGATTCATCTTGGAGAGAACTTTCCTGGAAGGATGAGGATGCTTCAGGTGAGGGATTGAGAGCTGCTTTTCCTTCGGTGGGATTCAGGACAAACCCAAACTGACCTTTTCCATGGAAGATTTCGGCTTCCTTACAGCAAACTGGGATTGCTCCCAGTCCAGGCAAACAGGGGACCGCCATCCTTTGGCTGAAAAGTTTTGGGTTTTAAAGGTTTTCCAAATCCTCCTTGTGAGATCAGACAGTCCCCGGAGGAGAAAAGGCCCAACTTTGTCAGGAAGAACAGCTGGGAGTGGATTGCAGCTGCTGAGAGTGAGGATGAGCTGGGAAGAGGAGGAAGGTGGAGTTTTCCTGGGCGGGCAGAAGGACTCTGGGTTTGGGGCTGATCCCTCGTCCTGCTCTGACTCTGCTCAGGGCTTCACATCCACACAAAGTGTCTCACCCAAATCCTCCTGTCTCCTCTGGAGCCTCTGGAGCTGATCCACGCCTGAGGCTTCACCTGCTGCAGTGTCAGAATCTGAGCTATTGATGATCCTGAAATGCAGAAAGTCTCTGTCTGTCAGCCCCGCTGCCAAAGCAGAAGCCATAATTGGTCTGTGCTGTTTCAAGGTTGTTTATTCTGTTTATCTCTAACATGTTCTGCTGCCCTGCCGCAGCTCTGTCCTGCAGGGCAGCGTGTGGGGCTCTGCCCTCAGTGGGATGGTACAAACATTAAATACCACAAACTACCTGTGCTGGATTTACAATAACGTGCCAATATCTGTCACCTACGTTGGACAGTGTGTCCCCAGCCTGAACCAACAGAAAAATGCCAACACCACAGTGAAACATGGAGGGCATGAAGAAGGAGAAAAAGGACAAGGCACACCCAATTTCCTCCATCTTGTCCCCTTTGAACCCTAATCTAGAATCCTAAAATTTTACTTTTGCACCCCTGCCACACTTAATTATTACTGATATCAAACACTCAGAGCTTGTAATTCATCCTGTAAGATTGAAAACTCTTTTCCATGGACAGAGATCACAGCCAGTGTCTCTGGGGGCTCTGTCCAGGGGGGTTCCTGACCCCTGCCAGGGTCCCAGGGCAGCCAGAGGGAAGCTCTGGATTCCCACAGTGCAGAACAAAAGGAAGTTTTTTTCCCCTTCTCTTTTTCCCTGTCTCTCTTTTGGGAGCTCAGCACCGCTGCAGGAGCTGCTGTGGTCTCCTCCCTGGGAATTTCCTCATCCCTGCAGCATCCCTGATGTCCCCACCGCTTTTCCAGGAGCGAGGTGGTCCCTCAGAGACCAAAGCCCAGCAGGGAAGGAGCTGCACCAGCCCTGTGTGACCCTCTCCCAGATCCCTCCCCCTGCTCTGCCCCATCCCCAGGCTGACACAGCTGAACAAAGAGGGATCCGGGGCCAGGCTGGATTCACAAACTGCCCTCAGGGGGAGGCTGCCCACGGCTTTTCCTGAGCTCCTTTCCGCTCTGATGATATTTGATGTCTTCAAAGGAGCTCCTCTGATCCAGGGAAAGGAGGGCAAGCACAGGTTGGACGAGGCTCGTCACTCAAAGCTGTTTTTTTGCTCATAAAATGCCACTTTGGGTGGAATAAAAGTGGATTTGTGTTTGTCATGGGCTGGTGGGTGGGGGGATAACTCACAAAGGTCTCGGAGCTTCCAGCGCTCCCGGGGTTTGGAGTGTGTCAGGAGGGATCTGGGGGGGTGAAGCTGCTGCACTTCCCACGTGGGGATCCCCTAAAGTGGGGTGGGGTGTCCCACAACTCTGAGTCCTGAGCACGGCGGGGGTTGAACCATCAAGGGTTGGTCCAAGGGCCACATCTCCCCTGCCATACTGGGAGAGCTGGGAATGTTCAGCCTGGAGAAGCGCAGGTTCCTCACGCCTGAAGGTGCTCCAGGAGAGCTGGAAAGGGGTTTGGACAAGGGCCTGGAGCGAGGGGAAGCGGCTGCCCCATCCCTGGAAGCGCTCAAGGCCAGGTTGGGTGGGCCTGGAGCAGCCTGCTCTGGTGGAGTGTCCCATGGGCGATGGGATGGGAGGCAGAGCCAGCCCTGCTGGGCCACCCTGGCTCCGAGGGGTGACCCAGAATCCAGAGCTGGCTGGAGAGGTTCTCCTGGTGCTCCGTGGCTGGGAGAGGGAAAGGAGGGGCTGGCAGGGAGTGGTGCTTCCGAAAAACGGGACCTGGGGAGCCTCTTCCATGAACCTTCCACCAGCAGGAACGGGCTCTGCAGAACAGGGAGACCCCAGACTGCAGCTCCAGAAGCTCCAGAGGGGACTGACACCAAGCCAAACCCTCTGGAAAATCCCAGGACTCCAACAGAGTTGGGTTAAGACCTTGGTTGTAGGCTCAGTGTAGCCCAGGAGCCAGCCTGGTGCTCGCCCTCATCCTGTTTCTCCCTTTAAATGGAAGAATTTTGAGGACAAAACCAATGGGATATTCCCTAGGGCCATCAGAATGTGGTAGTAGAAAACCAGCTTTCCCTTCTCACAGAAATTCCCTAACTTTTCATTCAATAATAGATTATCTAAAAAAAAAATACCCAAACCAACCATAAACAGTCTTCCTGTAAAAAATTAAATTATAGGGGAAAGAAAAATCCAGGTGGGTTGAAATACTTTTCATTCCAATTTCACTTCTTAAAGCTACTTTCGCTGTCCATAAAATGGAAATTTCAAAAGAGCTGCTTTTGAATTAAAAAAAAAAAAAAAAAGGGAAGAGAGTGGCTGCTCTTTGGTGCCATCCAGATGTAACTGGCTTTGGAAAAACCTCTCCAGGTGGGAGTGGGATCGTCCATCCCCGGCCTGTGCAGGTGGGAATTCACCCCCAAACTGGGCAGTGGCAAGGCTGGAACGCTGCTCCCTGCTCTGCTCAGCTGTGTCACCCTGCCCCGTGTCCCCAGCGCTGGGAGAGGCTTTGGGAGCACCCCTGGGTGCTGGGTCTGGACCCCTCCCGGAGCTTTGGGGCCTCTTGGCAGATGTTTGGGTGCTGGTTTGGGTGCAGCACCCTGACGCAGCTCTGCTCCCCCAGAAGGACAGGATGTCGGGGTGTCACCGGGGGTGTCTGTCACAGGGGGTGTCACGGAGTGGAATTGGAGGTGTTGGGGTCACCAGCTCAGCCTTTTGCTGTTCCCAGCGTTAAATGGGGCTCAGCGCCCCTGTCCCGTGCGCTGAACTCGATGTTTCCAGCGTTCTTTCCCCACCCGGCCGCTCCTGCGAAGCCGTGTCCCCAATCCCCCCGTGCCTCAGTTTCCCCACCGCTCCCCCCTTCCCCAAACCCACAGGGGACCGAACGCGGCAGAAACCAATTAGCGGAAGCATTAATGAGCAAAACGCTGGAAGGGGGGGGGACCAAGAAACGGCGACACGGGGGATGGGGTGGTGCTGGTGATGGGGGGGAGGAGGCTCCAACCAGAAGGGGTGACCCCCAAAAAAAGAAAAAAAAAGGAAAAAAAAAAAGAAAAACAACTCCCCCGAGCGAACGGGGGGCGGCGTGGGGAGGGGGCGATGCTCGGGCGGGGAAAGCGGCTGCACCTGCTTTAGAGGAACTATGGTAGGGCGGCCGGCGCCCGCCCCGCGCCGCCGCCGCGCCCGCGCCGCCGCCGCGCCGAGCCGGACCTGAGCGCGGCCACGGCCCGGCCGGCCCCGGCTGCCCGTGCCCAGCCCCGCTCCCAACGGAGCAACCCCCGCCGCCCACCCCCGGCCATGCCGCGCCGCCTCTGAGCTCCTCCGGCCCCGCCGCGCCCGCCCCGTCCAAGTTTGGGGAAGGTGCCGGTGCGGGAGGGCTGCGCTGGGCTGGCGGGGGAAGCGGCGGCGCGGCTCATGCCCGCCCCGGAGCGCGGCCATCGGCGCGACCAGGTGGGTGCGAGCGGTGCGGTGTCCCCCCGAGGGAGGGGGACGCGGGGTGGGACCCCCCGGCAGGTGCGGGGAGAGCGGGGAGCGCGGGGAGGGTCCCCCCGGTGTCCCCTCGCTGCCCCCGGTGAACCGTGCCCCGCGCTCGGCCGCGCCGCGCTCGGAAGTTTTGTTACGGCGCCCGGACAAAGAAAAGGGAGCGGGGCCGGCGCTGGGGGAAGCCGGGGCTCGGGGGGCTCGGGGGGCACCAGGGCTTTGGGCTGGGGGCGTTCCGTGGTGCGGAGCTCCCCGGGGGGGTGCGGGGGGTTCCCCGCGCTCCGTGCGCCCCGAGCAGCGCGGGGGTCCCGGTGCGTGCGGGCTGCCCCGGGTGGGAGCGGGGGTCTCCGCCGCCCCCGAGGCGTTTGGGCGGCCGCTAACCGGGAGGGGGGTGCGGGGGTCGCAGCCCCCTCGGCGAAGGGGGGGTCGAGCCCCGGGAAAGTTGCGCTGCCGCCGGCACAGCCGCGCTGCCGGTGCCGGATCCGGACCCGCCTCCGCTGCGGCGTTTCGGGGGTCCCGCACCCCCCGAGGGGGCAGCGCACCGGGGTGGGGGGTGGGGGGCTCGGCCGTCCCTGCCCTGCAGCCGCCCCAGCGCTCCCTTTGTTGGTGCTTCCCATTTCCTCTCCATCTTTTCCTTTCTTTCCGGCAGTTTTGGTTTAATTCCGGCTGCTGGAGGGCTCGGGTGGGTTTTCCCCCCCTTTTTTCCCCCTCGTCCATCACATTTTAACTCAGCCTCGACCCGCCGCTGTCTGGGCCCGGGGCTGTGATTCCCTCCTGGGAGAGAAATCCCTAAGTCTGCCCCAAGTTTTGCAATTCCTGGGAGAAGCAGCAGCCGCCGCCGTCCCCGACAACCTGCAGCCAGCCCGGCCGCCGCTCCCGCAGCGCCCTGGGAAAATCCAGCGCCGCTTCCAAAACCCTAACCCCGACCGCAAGGTGAGGGAGAGGAGGACGAGGCACTGCTTCGGATGGAGCTGGAGAATATTCCCGAGAAACCCCCGCAGGTTTGGATTCCGGAGGGGCTGACGGCAGCCGCTGCCCCGCGGCTCACCCGTGCTTGGCTTTGCAGCCGCTTGTAAAGTTTGCGGGGGTTCTTTGCGCCTTTGTTTGGACGGGGAGAGAGGTTTTGGGGGGACTTTTCCAAGGATTTGGGGGGGATCTCTGTAACCCGGTGCCGCGGGAGCTCAGCGGGGACGCTGCGGGCAGCGGCTGCTGATGGTACCGGCAGCGAGAACGCGTTCGGGAAGAGTTTTTATTACGGAGCATCGTCTTCTGGGATGGGAGTTCCGAAATTCCCGGGCAGACAGCGGCTGCTGGCTCACCCGGAGCCCTGGATCAGCCTCCGGCAGCATCCCCTTCCTTCCCCCCGCCGTGTCCGCCGTCGTTGCGATGCTCTCCCGGCAAAGTTCAGGGATTTCTGTTCTTCTCCCCGCTCCGTGGGATAAACAAACGCGCCTTGTCTGCTCCCCCCCTGCCCCTCTCCAGGAGGAAAGGCACTTCGGGAAGTGCCGCGGATGGCTCTGGAGATTTCTTTGGGTGTAGGAAATCTGGTTTGGGTTGGCAGGCGTGTTCGGAGGTGTGGATGGGAGAGAACAAGTGGAGCGTAATTGGGTTTTCTTTTTCCGTTTCCCCGTTTAAAACGCAGACAAGCCAAGGGCCGTGCGTCTCCCTCTCTCTCCCTCCTTTGCACTTTTTAATACAAATGAAAAATGTGCGGAGGAGAAAGAGGGAATAATTCACCGACCCCACTTTGCCGGGAGTCACGGCTGGGAAGTGTCCGCTCGGAAAACTTGTGCTGAGATTATTTTAGTTTTTTTTTTTTTTTTTCTGCTGCTCTTAATATAGTCCCGGAGGAATTTGTGTCCGAATTCCTGCCTGGGATCGCTCCTCAGCTTCAGGCAGCTCTTCCCTCCCCATCACTTGATACCCCAAGATTTTCCTTTTCCCACCCTCCACCCCAACTTCCATCGGATTAAGACCTCACTTCTCCACGAGCGTCGTAAAGCTGTGGGGCAGACAATAAAATTGTTATTAGTTTCTGTATTAAAAGCTTGGGTTGTTTTTAACCCAAACCAGAAGGAGGATTTACTTTTACAAATTTCTGCTGGTGTGTTAAAAATTTACACGGGGAATAGTTTCCGTGGAGAGCAGGGATTTGATGTTAAATCAACCCAACATGTGTCTCACGCAGGCGGCGTGACCCGGTCCCGGGTGTCGGCAGGGATGTGTTCCCTTTCGTGCCTCTCCATATCCTCGATTAAAACACAGCAAAGTCTCAGCCTTTTCCAAAATCTTAACTCTAAATTAAGGGTTTAAATTTTTTTTTTTTTAATTGCCACCCCACCTTAAAGTCCACCAAAGATAAATCTAACAAGCTCCAGGAGCGGGTGGGTGGAGGAAATAATCAGGCTTGGAAAAATTACTCTGCTCTCTCCTTTTTTGTTTCATTTTTTTTCTCCTTCAGGTTGCTTAAATCGAACTGGGAAAGGGGAAAATGTGGGGGAGAAGGGGAAGAATGGGAAGAATTCCCTGTGCCAAAGCAGGGAGCTTTGTCAGGGCTGTGGAGCCCTGCGAGGCTCCGGCTTCTCCTGCCCTTTGTGGTGTGGGACTGGGGGCTGTGGATCAGATCCCTCTGCTCCTGGGATCTCCCAGAAATGCTGCTGGGAACTGCTGCTTTGAGCTGCTCCCCGTTTATTTAATGTGGAATTTAATTTATTATTTGTTGGGGGTGTTGTTTTGGGATTTTTGTTGGTTTTTTTTTTTTTTGTGGATCTCCTCCATCCCACAGCCCCTTTTTTAACGGGATTCTCAATGTGGGGTGCGTCCGTTCCTGCCCGGATCGAGCAGCGCTGGCAGGTAAAATACAAAATCCAAGGTGGCACCGCCGAGCAGCACAAAGTTGGATTTGATGGGGGGGAAAAGTGCAGGAGAAGGGGGATCGGTGTGGAAAATTCCCCTCCCAACCCCTGCAGCCCGGGATGCGTCGCCCAGCGGGGTCAGGGAAGGAGGGGGGAAAGGCTGAGCAAACGGAGCGAGGTGGAATAAAACGGATTAAAGTTGCTGCTGGGGGAGGTGGGGAAGGGGCTGGAGAAACAGATAATATCCAAAAGATCTGTAAAATCCGTGTCCAGCCCCGCTGTCCTGCCTGGAAACCAGGCAGCTGTAGGTTTTACATCCCCTTTGGAAAGGGGAAGAGCAGGGAGCATTCGGAAAACAACAAAAACAAAACCAAAAAATCAGTGCAATGTATAAAACCAAGTGACACTAAAATATCTCCTCGGGCCCTCGGCCTTTCTCTCCTAATAACCCGGCAGGAATGCGAGTGCACTCAGTTGTGAAGTTGCTGCCCGGAGAGCCCGGGAGCTTTTCTTTTCCGCCGGGGATGCTTTGAGTCTGCTGATGTTTGTGTCTCGCTGTGGGGCTGGGGAGGGGCCGGGGGGCTCTGGCTTTCAGCGTTTTCTCTCCTTTGATTTTTTTTCTTTTTTCCCACCCCTCCATCCACCCTTTTTTTCTCTTTTCTTGTCGGTCCGGAGGGGGAGAGTTGCGGGGTTGGGATTGCCTTTGTGGCAGCAAGGTGGGGGGCGAGGGGAACGGGCTCATTCTTCCCACCGGGAAAGGCGGGAGGAGAAGCCCGGAGGTCCCGGCGTTTATAACTCATACACATTTATGGCTCCTTGCCTTTCCCCTCCGTGGTGGGCTTTGGGAGCCTGAAGGATTTGGGGAAATTATTTCAGGAAGGGAGGGCTGTGATGTTGGTTTGTTTTTCACCTTCATCCCCGTGGCTTTGAAGCTCAGGGATGGGGCTGGCAGGTGGGTTTGGGGTCTCCGGAGGTTGTTCCCCATTTCTGGGTGCAGGAGGGGATCCCACCTCCTCCTCCAGGGCCACCCTGGGTTTTTGCTCTGCTCCCGGAATGACCCCACTGCCACCTCGGTGTCACCTGCCACTTCTGCAAGTGGGAACTGGAAAATTTCCTGTCCCTTCCTCTTGGGTTTGCAGCTCCTGCAGCACGGCCAGAGGGATCCTGCAGGGTGCAGAGCTCGGTCCTGCTCCGTGGGCATCTCCCACAGAGGGATGAGCAGGAGAGGGAAGGGAAAAGAGAGAAAATAAAACCACTCAGAGCCTGGAATTTCCACGTGTGTTCCTCGGAAGGTGTAAAAATCCACCCCTGGATGCACCTGATTGAAATGACCCCAGGGGCTGGGACATGGCCCTGCACGGAGCTGGTGACACTCGGGGTGGCCCCAGAGCCCCCTGAGTGGCCGTGGGGCTGTGACAGCAGCACTGGCTCCCAGGCCAGCCCAGGGCAAGGGCTTGCACCCATTTTATCTCTTACAAAACCTCCTTGTGCTGCACCTTTTCAAGTCAAACAGAACTCGTAGATCAAGATGGGGCCGGGCACAGCTTGAAAAACTTCCTAATTTTTTTTTTTTTTTTCTCTTCCCCCCTCTCCAAGTGTTTGGGAGGTGAAATCCAGCCAAGACGCTGCTTGAGGGTTTGTTTTTGTTTTTTACCAAGTTTTCCTAATTTAAACGGCTCTTGGCACGGCTCAGGCGAGGCTCCAGCACGGAACGCGTTGTGATGATCCGGCTGCCCGTGACAAAAACCAGTTTGGAATTGGAATGGCATCAGGGAAAAGGGAGAGGGGAGAGGCAGGAGAAGCAGAGGAGGAGGCGAGGAGAGCTCCAAAGCCACGATTTGTTTCGCAGGGATCCTGCTGGAGCAGGGATGAGCTGCAGGGAATCATGAAGGGATTCCTGCGCCACGGGCACGGGCTTGGCACTGGGATGCGCAGGGAAAGGAGCCCAGGGTGAGTCTGGATCCTTTCTCCCGGGGTTTATTTTATTTTTAAGGAAAAGCCAGGCTGTGTTGTGCTGAGGTCTCTCTGGTGCAGCGATCCGGTGTTGGCACTGCCGGCCCCGGTGACACTTCCCGGTGGCTCCATGCCCTGGCAAGTTGGCAGCAGCTGCTGGCA